CTATTCTATGATTCTACCTCTACAACAGAGATGATACCCTATGCTACTCCTTTTAAATATTTCCAAAAGGACATACAGAGTATACACGTTCACTCTTAAATCTTCAACTCTTTGTTCTTTGTAACCAACATGGTGACTGGAAAGAAGGCTAGAATGTGGGAATACATAGTCATTTCAGTGGATTCTCTGCTGTAGATGTACAGGTAGCAATTCTCCGGGTCCTGCTAGGGGAAAAGAAAGCATCCACACATTCATGCGTGTGTGCTGCCAGCAGAACACATGTTCCACTTATCAGCATCTGCTACTATGCATAAAGGAAGAGAACATGTACCAACATACAACAAAGCATTATAAGGCACTGATCTTAAGTGTATGTATTGCAATTTGTTTAGCCTTCTTCCCTGCAATACAGATGGCAACATCTCAGAGTTGCTTAGAAACAGATAACATTCAAAACATCTATGAAAATATATGCACATCAGAATAATAAACACGAAACAGTAAGTGCCTTTCAGCACGGAAGACAGCAGTATGAGTCTTCAAACCTAACTGCTAATCTCAGAGAGTTAACATGACAAGGAAGTTACTAATTCTGTATTTTAAATGTGAAATAACTTATCTGCATAGGTTACTGTATCTACCACACAGCCAGAATAATGCTTCCAGAAATCCTGCACTTCAATTCTTAAATCAGTATATATTTCAACAACCCAAATGTGCATTTTTTTCATTGGTGATTGAAAGAAAATAACAATGAGATCCCGTATTCAATCTACAATGAAGATTATCCAACACTGTAAGAACTTTAGAACAGAGATTGGGGACAACATAGGAGAACCCAAATTAAAAGCTCCCTCTCTTTATGCTAAACATATTGTTTAGACATAAGGGAGCTGAACAGCCTGTTCTCAAATTCCAGTAAGGGCACTTGGTTTATATCAGGTTCTCACAGTTATGAAAACACTGCTGAGAAAAATAAATTAGTCTAAGTTGTATGGAGATAATGAGAAATGGTTTGATATATAAATCTTACAAGTTAGTGTATTAGGTCAACTGCATCCCAAATCCAATGACATTTCAAGTAGAACAGAGAACAGTAAACTGCAAGCATTTGTTTTAGTGAACTATTGTAATAACTGTTTAATTTACAACATCTTTCACAAAAAGGTAGGGGGAAAAAAAGAGAAGATCACATAACAAATCAAAGTCCAGCAGAGATGTTCTGAGGATGGTTACAAAGAGCATACTCATCACTGCACACCCACTGCTGCAGATTCCTCTGCTACAGCTTTTTGCAGTGCTTAGGATGGCAGCCAAAGTTGAGCAGCTTAGTAACAATAACACAATTATAACTGTACGATTTTGCCATGAAATGCCACACTATTTGCTACAGGCTGTTGTCTACTGTCTGCAGGCTGACATCAATGAAATTTTATACATTATCAGTTCAATGTTCATATACAGGTGGCTTAGTCTTTTTTTTTTTTTCCATTTATAGATGTACTCAGCCTAAATTTATGTGTTACCACACACAAGATTAATTGCTGCTGGTAAAGTAGCCACAGATCCAAATTCAATTCAATTTGTGCCCAGTGAAATGAAAGCAGCACTGAGACATGCCTCAGCTCATTTCAGGGAAATCATTTTCAACAGCATGCACAGCTGTAAATAATTTTACAACTTTATAATCTAATTATTGCATATTGCAAATGTCTCAGAACATTAAGGGTTTAATATTTCTGCTGTACACAAGCTTTGTCAGGAAGCTCTGTGCGAAATGGTCCTGAGAAAGTAATTTAACTTTTGTCTGCCAGTTTCCCTATCTACGAAGCAGGGCTAACTATATACGTCACTTGCATAACAGGAGGCTTAAATACTTTGAAGTCCTTTGACTGATAACGCCACAGATAGGAAAAGTTTTAAATTTATCACAGACTTATCTTTTTATCTTATTAATGAAAGGGGGTTGCCTGGCCATTTGTTACTTAGACTTGCATTATGATTTCATCTGTGAGACAAACCAGGGCCATTCACGCATGGCTATTCAGAAGACCAGTGTTTCTAGTATCTGGAATTAAGACCTAATAATGCTACTTTTTGTCTTCAGCTGTGATTACAAGAGGTAAGGTTTATCATGTGGTCTCGCTCGTTCGCACCACTCTTAAAGATTTGTTCAACATGCAGTAAGTTCATTTCTTGAATTTGGCCTCATACTATTTTTGAACTGATATGATGCTGTTTAGTGACATGCCTTAGCTTGGTTTTCTAGTGCAGCATAAAGTTTTGGTATTAAACTCAGAAGCCCTATAAAGCCTAACTTCTGGTCTAAATTTTAAAACATACACTGAGCTGCAGAAAACACTTTCTGAAGCTCTCAAAGATTACTGAAGATCATTACTGTAGGGATGGCTGTAAAGTCTGCAGTTGTAGTGCCAATATTATATACTACATATATGCAGAGAGATAGCTATGAAATTAACACATTTCAGTGCACCACAAGAAGATGTTCTTACCTTATTCGACTTCTGGTTGTAGGGGTGACTGATGCTGTAGGAGAAGATGAGAGTGACAGTTGTGGTGAGGTGGTACCCATTGCCATAAGAGATGCTGGAGATGCTCCATCAGATGCACTGATATCCCGCTTGATTTCTTCACTACTTCTTCGAGAGACTAAGTGGGAAAATGCCCATAGATTTATCATTTGCAAATGTTAAAACTTCCAAACTTATTCTCGCTCTCTGACAAGCGTTAGTTCAGAGACGATGCATAGAAACCTATATCCAGTACTAGGCTTCAACATTTTTCTTGATCCTTTCCACTTTAGAAATATCAAGAATTTAGATGGCACTACCCACATTTATGAACAGGCTTGTATCTTGAAGTAAAGACAATCTGATGAATGTATCTTAATGGAATATTGCTAATCCCATTTGAAGGCTTTCATGATAAGGAGGAATTTTAACACCAAACTATTTAATTTTCTCTAGTCCATGTATTTATGTTACTAAACTTCAACTAGTTAAAAAAAACCAAAAACAGTTTAGAGAGGACAGCTGCGCTATTTCCATTTCATTTTAATCAGGAACTAGCATGTATGTGGTGCTCTGGACATTAATTAAACATCATCCATGAGCTTATCAAAGATTGACCTCAGGCTATTCAGCAACATTCTACGGAGCTTGCTTCATTTCAAAGAACAAACAAGATTTCTTTTATATGAAAGCACAAGCATTACACTTTGCAACAGATTGTGGAACGGTTGTGTTTTTTCTACATGGTAGAGTTTCTAGTTAGAAGTATGAGGTTTGCCTTTTATACCTAAATAGTCACCATTGTTTATATTTGGCCAAATCAAAGATAAAATTCTCCATATATATACATATATATATATATCTCAGAGATTTGTTTTCTAATGACTTCAGGAAGTATACTCATTTATAAATACGACACACAAGAAGATGGAGAAAAAACACTTCTGGGTGGATATATTTTTTTAGGACAAATCAAAATTATTTTAAACACATCTTCTTCTTGAAACCATTTACACAAATATAGGTATTTTTAAAAAGTATTTCTCTCCAATTACTTCTGCCTAATTCTTAGAAAGTGTCATTTTCACAGTTTCACACTATTTGTGCTATGAATCTTAAAGATCTGTTTTTAGAAGCCCCTGCTGATACCGAGATGTCAGTCTGATAGTAAATTAACACCGTATGTAAACTTCTAATTAGCGAGCCTATATTTTTAAAATCCAAACTTAACATCAAATGTGCAGCAACCACTCTGAGTAATACTGAAGGATATTGGTGGATGATGCCAGTCACAAAATGTACTATTTCAAAATGATTCACTGCAATGGGTACAATTTTTGCTAGGTAATATGCAAACATTTATATGCATTACATAATGCAGAATGACATATCTGTTGCCTAGAAAGAACAATCCTCCTATTTTAAGCCATTGACAATAATTCTTTCCACAAACAAAAATAGAATGGCCTAACTGGAGAAGAATAATATACCTCTCTGCCTCACTCAATCAAATAATAATCCTACATCCATGAAAAGCAACAGCCAGAACAGTTTCTTTTGTCACATATACTTTGTACACCAGAACTGCCTGTAATACAAGGAGAGATGACACGGAAGTCAACTGTTACATGCATGATTCGTACATGTATGTATACATCCGGTATGTCACTGGACATCTGTATATGCAACAGTAAGTACGCCAGACGAGCAACTAAAATTCTCTTCAGTTCCACCTGATGCAATAAAACAACATATTATTTTACCAGTGGACTTTAGTTTCTTTCCTCAAATACTTCAATCGAAAACCTGAACGCTGAAAAATAAGCTATTCCATACACTCAAATAGAGTTTTCTTGACAAGAGCTTGACAGTCTGAAGACCAAAGTTCTCTCTTGACAAAGTAAAGTAGATCTGCAAGTACATTTTGAAATAAGAGTTCCTAATTTTACTACTCATCTAATAAACGTGATGTTACCAGAAATAGATTTGGCACTTTCCATAGCAGGTACTCTTGGCAAAGATGCTGGCCTGCTGGTAGAGGATGTTCTCAGCAAATGTTCTGGACAAAGAAGAAGAAGAGAACAGCATTAACAAAGACTCCAGTTAAATTTAAGACATTCAGGTATGAATCATTAATACTGTCTACCACTACCCGAGTTTGGCTGTTTTACTGAGAGCAACTGATTTTATCTGTATGAAAGAGAAGGCCTAAATTTGCTAATTACCAATGAAGCTCACTATGAATACATCCCTTCTTAATCCTTTTTCCCTAAGGCCTCTTAATAATCCACTTGCTCTGGTCTATGAAAAATTAACTGCTAAACCAGAAAGATGAGCAAGGAATCCCAATTTAGTGCAATGCCAGAAATATTCAATATGCCAATGTGGACTGTCCCCCATGTGGTTCTTTTCCCTTTGTTTTGTTGGGTGTTGGGTTGGGGGGTTGGAGTTTTTATTTTTTAAATAAAATCATGTCCTTTTTTTTTTATATTATTTTCCTCCAAGCATTGGAGTCTAAAAGGTGCCTTTACATATTGTAGGAAAAGATGAGTTCTGCCTACTGTTAATAAGTAAAACCAAACTATAACAAAATTCATTGTCTGTAGCATTAAATCAAGATATTTCCTATTATTGAAGAAATATTCCTTCAAATAAAACCTTTAGATTGTAAACAAAACGTTTACATTACTCCTGTGTAGAAACACTTGGAAGGCAGTAATCTAAATACAAAAAACTCCCATAAAAATGAAGAATGAGGATTAAAAAATAGTGAAACCCTGTTCATTAGTAGAAAATGTGACATAAAAAGCTACAAGTACCTTGATACAAAGACACTTTAAAAATATATACTGTTGTAAACAGAAATTCTGTCTGCCACACTGTACTGGAATGCAGTCCTGCTCCTGCATTAACTGACTGTAATGGAAACACAGCAACTATGTAAAGCATGACACTTGTTTTGTGTTTAAGCTGATGCCTACCCATGAACTTTGTAACAATTAAAGAACCCTAAACTATCTTCTTGGAAAGGCATTTCAATATTCCTAAAAATATCAAAGTTTCTAAAATTAAAACTCCAGCTGCATTGTACAAATAACCTCAATATGCATTTAACAAAAGCAAGAAGGAAACCTGGCACATACAGACTATTACGAAGTGCTAAAAAAAAAAAAACCAACAACAAAAAAACAAAACACCCAACCCTTTAGAAAGCATCAGACCCCAGGAATACCAAACTGAGAGGAAATACTCAGTCTGGAGTCATATGGGGATTATCTTGAGAAACATCTACCCCCCAAAAAAAACCCACCCCTAAAGCAGGCATAAATCAGAGAGCTGCACCCAACACATGATAGCCATTCATTCTCACAGGAAGAGCACATTGTGAACAGTGTTATGAGAGACAAAACAAAGTTTGCAGAACAGGGAAATATCGGGAAACAGATAAATCAACACTCAATTCCATTCAATTTTTCATCTGGCTCCTGAAGATTCAATACTTAATAAGTTTAAACATTGTTATTCGCATGCAATGTCAACCATCATCCTTGTTTCATTCTTGGGGAAAAGAAAACCCAACCACAAAACCCACAACCACACAATACATAATGTAACCCCAAAGTGTGTATTTTTAATAACTGGAAGACAGCCTCAAGTCATGTCCCTGAAATCATCTTATTTTGATTTTGCAAGTGATCTGTTTATGCACACATTAAAAACTGTCAGAATGATGCTGAGTTATCAGCATGCAATCATGGCTTTGTTGAAAATTCATAAAAGCATCTTTATGATATGCCACCATGTGTGATGAAACACAAGTAATAACTTGAACGTGAGATATTCTACAAAAGTATTTTTATAATAAAAAGCATATAATATGATAATGCTTTAGGTACCAAACAACATAAAATAAATATTAATAGCATTGCTAAAATCAAAGTTGGAATGAACTTGGATCAATACCTTGAACAGGGATTTCAGCATAGCTTGGTCTTTTGTCTGTCAGCGTAGCAAGGGGTTTTGAAGCCGAGATTGGTCCACTTATAGAATGCCTCTGAAATGGAAATATACTTGCGTCAAACGTAATTCAAAGGTAAAAAAGCAAATATGAAATTGCAGAATCAGTTTCAGAAATCAGATATATCATTACTGATTGAAAAGAACTAGAATAATAAAGGAAGCTTTAAAAATAACTTAGTAAATAAGGATGTGTCCTCTTTACCTGTTGCTTTTGACAGAATATACATACGCCCACTATGCATCGATACTGTAATATTTACTTCTTTAAACTGAAACCTGTTCCTCAAACCAATGTTGCAAATTAAGGTTGTAAATTGTCTTGCAGTTTTTGTGTTAATTTTCACCTTCATTTATTTTTGTTTGTGCAAACCTGTTCTAGTTAAACCTGGTATGTTTAAACTAATACAACCTCCTATACGTAGCCAAGATTTTAGTGTTTGATTTGTGTTACTAACTTATGCCTTTACTTTGTGCCTTTTCCTGGAAAATTAGGATAATGGTGTGTTGGGTGTACACCAAAGTCTCCTTGGCTAAAAAAAAAATAAAAATAAAAAATAACCCTAGTGAAAAACTATTTTTAAAGTTATTTTTACTATTTATTATTATTTTACTGATTAGAACATAAACAGCTTTTGCTACCACCTATTTGACATGCTCTGTGAAAAACTGGAGAGAGACATTTTGTGAAGCTTTTGTCAAATATGTAAGAAAATGCAAATATAATTATTTTTTCTTGCCCAGGTCACTTTAATTTCTGTTCTGCTCTAAACAGCCTACAAAATGAATTTTGTCTGCTCAAGTTTAATGTAAAATACTTAGCAATGCATGGCTTCCGGCAGCTTAAAAGTGCAAGGACCTGATCACACATCAGGTCCAGTAATGTGTTTATCCTGAAAACTCTTTCTGCTTTCCATCTGCTCCAGGGTTAAATGAGAAGTTTAAATGAGCCTTATCTTCATTAGATAATAAAGGTCAGATGTTTCTCACACCAAATCATGTAGGCAAGACAGACAAATCCAGAACTTGACTAAAAAATCTTAGCAGTATATACTTCGCAGCAGTAGCACAAGCAGGATTACAGGACTACTTACTCATAATACCGAGTCAAACTAGAGTTATGCTTTTGTGCTAGAAATCAAATGAGGAAAACAACTGCCAACATATAGCATGAAGAATTTCCTCACTTCATATATCAATAAATGTGCAGGTTAAAGTGACTGGGTGGTGAGCCATGCACAGAAGTGTCTACAACAGCTTCCCATAAGAGCTGGTAATTCAAACTTGCATTACCTTTGAAGTTCACTTCACCCACTTGGAATTTTGAATAAAGGACAAGGACTGTACCAACGTGAGAGCCATTTTGTTCCACCCCTCTAAGTAAACAGCAGGTAGATAATGAGATTAAAAGAAAAAGATTTCATTTTGGTTAGCTTTCGGATTGTCATTACAAAGACAGGGCAGTACAGAACTTTAGCCAGGACCCAAACGTGTATACAACAGAGCAGGCACAGTGCTAGCTAACCATATACCTTTATCACTCAGATCACTTCCCAGATATCACTTGAAACCAAACATCCTTTACAGATTGCCAGAAAGAGGTTGTACTGCTCAACTGATAACTTGCTGTGTACAGGTCTTGTCTTGTCTCCCTGTTATAAAACAAACTGTTTACCTTTTCCTCCTGTTGACACAGCATACAGGGCTTACTTTCTCTGTTGCTAGTTCCTTATTACTTATCTTACAACTATCAGTAGTAACGTTGTGACTAATACACCGCAAATTAGAGGAACCAACTAATATTTATCTAGTTCCACTGGGCACCATCTATCTGGTAGTAGAGCACAAGTCTCTTGGAGAATAATTTTCCCTGAAACATCATACAAATGTTAAAAACCCTTCTGCTTGACTGCGCTTTTAGTGAATTTGCAGATCAGCCATTCCTCACTTCGCCTACAAAACAAACCACACCTGAGGTGCATTTGAACAAGTATGGATCCTACCAATCCCTTTATAAATACCTTTTTTCCTTCAACTAGAAATATGTTCTAAAACTCAATTAACTGCTAAATACCATTTCAATTTTACACTAGTATTCGAACTCCTCCGCACTAAATAAAAGGATCAAAAGTTTGGAGGAATCACACACTTTTGAGGCTATTCATGGAAGCTACACATCATATAGAAATTACTAAAGATGCCCTGCAATCTGTAATCCTGTGTTCATCCTACATTGAAGTCTAGCAGAAAAAAATTCTAGAAAATTTATGAACCAGTTTTGATGTGAAAACTTTTCTTCACACATCACAGTTAAATAAAATGTTTCCACATAGCAGTCTTTGTATAATGCAATTACAGTAAGAGATAAAGATGCTATGATCACCAATAATGACTTTCTCACAGACATTCCTAGTTTGAAGATAAAAGTTTCTGCTAGCTACTTATGACTTTCTAGATTATTTTTTTGTGTGTAAGATGAGTAACAACTCTAGAAAAGGAACCAGCACACCAGTGAGACAAAGGAGAACAAACACTTGACACTTCAAACTTGAAACAGAACTATGGCGGGATGAACAAGGCTCTTACAGGCTATGGAAGGAAACATGACCTTCAACACCTGTCCTATTCCCAATCACTTTGTGCTTCAGCATGTACTTCAGTAAGTACTTCATGCCAATGCACTCACACATGGCAGTTGCAGAACAAACATGGTTTTTTACATATTAAATAGTGAAGATGTGGAAATCTTTGACACCAAATTACTTGGAGTCTGAAAGTTTATACGCTCAAAGCAAAGCCGAGCATTCAGTGGTGATGAGTAAATCTGAAATGACGCCTACTTCAGAGGGTCCTCCAGCTACAAAACAGGGAAAAAAAAAGTACTTGGGGAAAACAACAGATATGCTTCCTTGTCCTTACATTCCTCCCTAGGCATCTGCTTTGGTCACTCTCAGTGCCATACCAGACCAGCTAAGCTTTGGGCTAACCTAGCAGGGTTGTTTTTATAGTCTGAAGAGCATTCTCTTCATATCTGTCTTCCTAAACTGTTTTGCAGCATTGCTAAGTGCTGTGGTAAATAACAGCTATGTTCCACTGTGGGCTTGGACCTGAAGCCAGAAAGGGTTTTGTTTGTTGGTTGGTTTTGAGCTGCAAAAATGTCTCCTAGAATGTATCTCCTTAAACAAACACATATTACTGTAAAGAAAAACAAACAAAGCAACCAAAAAATCTCCAAGACTGAGGAAATTCATGACACAGTCCAAGACAAAAAATGAAGTGATACGCAAAATTCAGAGAGGACACATGTTGATGTATCTATTCTTGGAGAATCTTTTCTGCAACCAATCCATCCTACCATAGTATCACAATCATGCAGGTACCCATGTAAATATTCCCCCTGTGACAGCACTGAAAAGCAACTGAGATTAATGTTGATAAGCACTGAACACCCATACAGAGATCAACCCTTCTACCTTTACTCAAGATCTTAAATCATGGATGACTTCTATAAGGCGGGAGCTGATAGTGAATTCACACCGTGATGACTTAGTAAAGTCTTGCTTTTCAATTGCAAAACAGCAAAAAACAACAGATGAAAAATTACATAGAACACAAAACCCCCAAGGTAGTAATATGAAAACAAAGAAAAAGAAAAGATAATGAAATTGGTATTGAACTGAAACCCCTTCTCTGTTGACCAGGAAATATTCTTGAAATCAATTTATGTAATTGAGGTCACAAAACCTATTTGGCTTCCGGATAATTACAAATACTTTCAAGAAAACCACCTATCTGCAAAAAGGCAATAGAAGCTGTTTTCATCTACAGGCCCTCCCCTTTGCTTTTCAAGCAATGTTTGCCACTAATGAGTATCCAGCTGTTAATGACTTGGTTCTATACCAGAAGTTCAATTCAATATTCAAGTAATTCTGGCAGATCAAGAACATCAAACAAAGAGCTGTAAACCTGAGCAGGTTTGCAGTATTCTAAAAGATTATTTTGATTCACGGTTAATTGACAGGTAAATAAAGTGAAATAAGCCTTAGGCTTCATCAAAAAGTCTTTTGTCTGCCAAAGCTCTGGCCTAGCCTTTTAGAACATGAGATTAAGTCTGCCTCTTCCTACAAGAGCACAGAAATAAATAGAAATATAAAGACAGATCAGTAGGAACAAAGCATCTGCCAAAGAACTTGTCACATTTAACTACTTCAGAAAACTGCTGTCAAGAGTGACTGAGCCACAGCAGTAGCAGAAGCTTGCACAAAAACATTTAATTCTTTCTCTTTGCTTTGAGGCTATCTGTTTCATGAAATTCACTCTCAAATTAATAAAAGCTGCACTAGTCTGAGCACAGAAGAACAGTCAGTCTGTTCCAGGTATACTAAACGCTAACATGGATATAGATTCCTCAGTTCACACAGAGAGGATTTATTACCAAAACATTACGCTGACCTACAGTAAAAATCAAGTTTTGGTACTTCTGGTTAGCAATATCTTGAAAGCAACTGGAGAATAACAGATATTAAAGGAATAAAATATACAGTAGGTTCTTTAATTTTTTTCTTTGTGAATCTGGTCCCATTTGCTTTGTCCTGAAACTTGTTGGCTTTTGCCAAATCTCACTTCATGCAGCTAGTGAGATAATAAAACCAGCAACGATCTATAAAGCTAAGCATGAGAGTGCTGATGATGCGCTCTTGGTGTACCTAAGCTCCTTTAGCAGCTGAACAAATGGACAAAGCTATAGAGGGGACACGAGAAAATACACAGTACAATCCCCAACTGGCCAAACAGTCAGTATAAAATGAACAAAGACAATTAATTCACAGCTATTTCATTCCTCTCTGGTCAGGTCTGATATTGAAAGCACATGCAACATGGGATACGTTTATACCGACAATTGGTGACAGATTCTGTGCAGATCTCAGTCCATTGCCTGAAGGTGAAGGTGGATTACTGCTGTTTCCGTGCCAGGTGCAGGACTAAGAATTGACAAATAGCAACTTTAAAACTAAGGAATGCAGATAAAGTTTTCCTCCCATGCTTCTCAGTAGCACAGGATAGTGATGGTTGGGAATATTTAACAAGAACTTCCAAATTATGCCAAAAATATTTATTTACAACACTGTTCGCAGTGAAACACTCCTGTTAGACTGCACATTTTAGTAATTACTTCCTCGAGGCAACATTTTATCATTATTTCCCCAATATTTGTATACTACCACCTGCAGTTTCACATGCTCTTCTTTACAAAGAAGGATTAAGTGCAGTCATGAAACACATACCTGCATAGGGGATACAGCAGCAGCTGGGGGAGTTTTCATGGGACTTGGGCTCAGGGGAGTGCGAGGAATTGTGGCAGCAGCAGGGCTTGGAACTAGTATGAACACAGAAAGGAAGCCACCATGAGCACTGCACTATTTTGCAGTAAAACAGGAGACTGGCTGTTATGGCGAACTCTCACATTGTACTTTACATTACTAGTTATACCAGATGACATCTCTCAGAATTTCAATTAGTAACTGACTTCAAAATCATTTAAATGTATGCCTACACATTTATTCCTCTGTAATTACATTCATTTTCTGTCTTGAATATATCACCCACAGTTAAAGCATAAGTTTACTGGGGGTGGACAAGGCTAAGGTGCAGGATATTATTACCCTGGCAGATGTAAATGATGGCATTACTAGTTCTCTGATCTCCAGATAAAGAAATGGTATCAGGCTCCTGGGTCTGCCAGTAAGACAAGAACGATAACCTGTATCACCTGCTTCTCTTTTCTACTTTCCAATTAAAGGTCACAGGTACTAGATATTATATCCCTGAAATTTTTGGATTAAACAAATAAGTTTAGAAATGTACAAAACCAGATAAATACTGAATTGGTCAATCAGACATCTGATTATTTAACAGCATGTTTATAGACACGAATGCTGACGAAAAAGGCAGACACTAGCTTGAAATAAAAGATTCAAAAGAAGGGAAAAGGGATTTATCATTTTATCCTCTGACTCTGGCAGAAAAGCACCTTTATCCAATAGCAGATTGAAAAAAAAACCCTTCTAAATTAACACTAGCAAAGTAAAAAACTGTAAATACCTATGAAGAAAGAGAATAAGTGCAGAAATAGAAACATTCACAGAATCTCCAAATAACATGGAGATGCTTCTATACCTTAACCAAATTTCAGGTTATAAGCAATTAAAAGTAGATTTGCCATGCACAGTACAGTGCTGTAAATCTCTCTGGTAATACAGCCTACTTCAGGCCAAGCCTTTTTACATGAGAGACTCACAGTGACATCACGGTAAGGGAAATTCAAACCCCAAAGACCTGACAAGGGAAATACTTTAATACATACAGGGCCTTACATGCAAACAAAGCTAAACCCCAAGCATTTCTCCTTTCAAGGTAATTACTTGGATTCTTTATTCTGTTCATCTACAGAGAAGGACAACAGCACCTGTTTCCACAATCAGAATTATAGTAAATACTCTGTCTCAACAGTAAGATCCCTTTCATTTTAGAAAATATTCCCTCTATCTTTTAATAGGTGATAGTAGCTGGACCTTATTTTTAACTTTCATCAGTACTTTGATTATAAGAATATAAGTCATTAAAGGAAACAAACTCAGCTCTAGCTATTACATGGCTTTCAGAATGCTTAATTTGGCACATTAAGTTCACATTTTATAGTCAGGCTGAAATCAGCTGTGCTTCCAGCTATAATTATGTGCATAATATGTGTTTATGTATTTCTAATATACAGGAGCACTGAATCAAACCATCTAGCATATGAGTCATTGGCAATGCAACAATGAAAATAAAGACAAGAAAAGGATGCCTGCACATAACCGCAGCAAGCAATCTGTTGTGCAGTCTAGTTTAGGTTGGTTTGTTTCAGCCATCACTTACAGGTCATGACAGTACAGTTACATAATTTACCTTTGAATTACCTAAGCCATTAGAAGTGCCCATGCCAACACATGCAGAAATCATACCCTGCTACAGCTACGACACTGGTTGAAAATAATTACCTTGGGAGGCACTGTCAAATGATTTGATGAGTGTTTTTACTGTAGGAGTTGGCTCTGAGGAGGTGGATGATCTGCGACTCAGGCCCATTCCTTGTCTCAGAGCTGCCAAGTCTCTCTCGACAGCATTCATGTAATTGTACACTCGACCACGTTCCTCTTCCTGCCTGAAATCAAGATGCACACATTTAAGGTGTTTAAATAAGATTTTTAATATGCAAAGGCTTAAAAAATCAACACAAATTTGAAGCCAAATTAAAATCTGTGGTCCAAATTGGCCATTATATTAAACTAGTTTTCTTTTCACTGTAATTTAGAAATATTATCAACCTAAATTATCACTGTAATTTCTTACTATTTGTTAGCAAGGGAACTTCAGCACCAGGTGAAAAGTCTATCAAATCAATACTTTATTTGAGGCTTAATTCCTGCTCCTACCTCTCTCACATGCACATGTAAACCTGGATGAAAAAAAATCAAGCCTTAAGAATTTCACTATTTCTCATGAAAATAACAATCTCAGAGGGCGAAGGTTTTCTTTTCCACCTGCATAAACAGAAAACAATTTACTAAGGAGGTAATTTAAAGATGTATGCCATCTATGGCATACATCTTTAGGCAGCATTTGAATCAGTTTAACAAAACAACAACTTTGATTTTTAGTTCATTATTTATTACTACATTTTAGTACATTGATTTTTAGTGAATTTTAAACATTGACTGATTTTTTTGCTTCAGACTTTCCTAACACCTTCCCTCCAATAAAATACCAATATCAATTCCAAGAAATCTGATTCAGGTGCCTCTTTTCAGCAGTGAATCAGTAAGTCAAAGAATGCTTGTGGATAATATGGAATCAGCAGCCAGTTCTACCTTCAAAAGTGCAACTGTAACCTCAGAGGTTCACTTGAAAGCAGTAACTGAACAATTACAATTCTGGCTGAGATGTATTAGTAAGAATTGTTCATATGTCTTAATTTGGTGATCTGACTTCAGGTAAGATGCCTTACGCCTGCCTACCAGTCATCCACCCAGATAAATTTCACACATTTTCAGTGTAACCAGTCTACTTTTCCTACCATTTTTCCCAATTTACATTATTTCATATCCTACTGGATGCTGGGTTGACTGTAATGTATGCTATAAAATGCCCATCCACATTGAAAAAATTGTTTAATATATACACATCACAAACATCATTACTGTAATTGTAAACTATACATAGATAAATTCAATCCCTAAAGACAATGTAGTGCTGTCCAGGATGTTCCTATTCTATGGATTTGAGGACTTTAATACTTCTGAAGGATGTATAACTCAGTTTCTAAATAACTGTAGCATCTAATTCAAGTCACAGTATATTACAGTTTGAATTATTTTACTAAAAATGTCTTTATGCTAAAGCACCTCTATTCCCAGAAACAATTACTAGTGGAAAGAAAACAGTGCAAGATATATGCAGACTTAGATGAAGATTTCTTCTCAGGTAAAAATCTAGTTGTATTTTAGCCATACCAAAAGCCTTGGCTGCTAATAAGAAATACTAATGATGGTACAGAAAGGCCATCACTCCTTGTTTTTCCACACTGAGGAAAATGCTCAGCTGTTAAATGGGAACAATCCTCCACTTAACCTGGTTTCGCAAACTGAGTATTTTTGGATGGATGAAATATACAGCATAAAGAAACAAACACTGTTCTTAAAGTTATCTTGACCCCTGAAAGCCTGCACTGTGGAAATACAGATACTCACAGTGAAGGGATTTATGAACTTCCGCAGTCTCAATAGTAGATAAGATACTGGATTTTCAAAACTGTACCCCCCCCTACAAAAGAGGCAACATCCCTATTGTCTTTGCATACTTGCGTGACTTGATTTCTTCCAGCTCTTTAGTGAGCTTCTCATTTTTCTCCTGAGCTTCATGTAATCTACGCTTCAGGTCTCCTATCTCTTCCTGGGCCTCAGACTTGATATCATTTGCTATAACCACTGCAGTCTGTAGATCAGCCTGGAACTGACGCCATTCTGCTGACTCCTCCTATAAATAAATAAAACACTAAATTGAAAGCAGGAGCAAGAATTTTAAATCTAAAAAGAAGTTACCTTTATTATTCATAGTTTCCCTGTGCTGTTAGAGGAGTGACAAAGGCACTCATCCCTGGCATTAGATACAACCTAACTTACAAGTTAAAATGAAGAAGTTTTGCTGGAAATAACTAGACTTCCAAGGTCATTAATTTCTTTTCTAGAAACAAAGAAAATGTTCAAAGTGGGGGGTGGTGTGGAAATTACAAATTTAAACTATGCATCAGAAGGCACAGCAACATTTTTTCCTAAGCCCAACGCCATATCTTTGTGACACTGAGAATGTTTCGGAATTCTTTAGTGTCTGTAGATTACTAAATATTTTTCTATATGATGCCCATCTCTCAGAAATAATTTGTTTTAATGGTATTACATCTAATAATATTATCTTTTCACAATCGCACATGCAGGTCTTATGACCTTCCAAGTTCACAGTTTATTGAGCTTTTAGGTTTTAACCTACCCGGAGTCTCCTGTGGAGATTCTTTATCTCTCTTTCCATGTCATGCTTTTGGTCTTGAAGTTTTTTCACTGTATCTGGAAAGAAAGTAAAATTCTCTGTAAGATCTTAATCAGGGATCTACTTACTTTAAAAAGAGTAACTGAAAAAAATGCACAAAACCTTGCAAATGCTTTTTAAAACTTGATTAGAAAATATATTTTTTGTAATGAAAGCCTTCTGGAGAAAAATATTACGAGAAGAAGTAATTTGACAAAAAGTGTCAATAGGTACATACTTCTCTATGACTGGTGAGGGGAATAGCATAAGCAAATTCAATTCTTACACAAATCCCAGTCTCTTTTCTATCCTTCACAATATTAAAATGACAAAGCAATAACAAAGAGCAAATAAACAAGGTAGGTAATTTAACATGGAAGGACCATTAAAACATGGATGTCTGGGGGTTTGCTCTTCAAACATAAGCTACAGCTACATGAAGCCTTTTGATTCACAATATACTCCCTTGTCACAAAGTAGCTGACATAACAATCAGAGCCATGCCCTCAACGGGGATAAAATTCCACTCCTGTCCTCAAGAATCCTACATTCTTGTCTCTCAAGCTACTATTTGAAGTCAAAGCAAGCTATATTTGCAGCAAAGGGACAAACTGTCAAGAAGATTATGTTATGAAAGAAATGGTCCCCATAATCTGTCAGCAGCCATACAAAAGGATATGCAGATTGATGGCCACCAGCTCCGCACGTGGCATCTGACAGACTGGCTACTGCAATTATTCATTTGCTCCTTTATTCAGTGTGATTGATTACTCCTTTCTTATAACTAAGCAACTAATGAAGAAGAGCACAGCATAGGTTTCTAATTAGCATGGCCCTTCACCGATCCTTGGATTGGGGGATGCTTTATTTCTATACAGCATAATGTAGCTATTTTCAAATTGTAAAAATGATGGATCAGCTGATTGAATACCTTTTTTTTTGTTCAGGTTCATTGTTCCAAGACCTGCTAGAAACAAATATTTTTCCTGTATTTTAGCAATGCTCTTTTCACAAAAAGATGAAAGGTGCCAAATACATTTAAACTGCTCAAAATACAAAACCTTGGCAAAACTGCATAAGAAATGTTTGAATAGTAAGAAGATGGGTATATATGTTCATACAGACAGACTGATAAAGTAAAGTCTTGTGGCTCTCATTTTCAACATGAAAATCTTTCCAGGGCTTTGATTTGAGGCTATGGCAGGCCAAATAGAAAATAGTAAGTATTTTAAAAATGTTTAAATCAGATGTTATGTTGAAACTAGATGATCTTTAAGGTCCCTTCCAACCCTAACCATTCTACAATTCTAGGATATAAGCTAATTTATGCTGCTGCATACATTCAGGAGCCTTAACTCATGAATGCTCATAAGAACATTTCAATTTTTCAACCATAGAAACCTTTTTGGTATCTTCACCAGGAGAAATTCTTAAGTTTTGCCTCTACAGTCCCAAGGACATAGGCTGTTAATGCCACAGCTAACTTTTTTTTTTTACAAGAATTATATAAACCACAGTTTTCCTGGAAACATGAAAATCTTTTAGGCTTGGAAAAGTTGAAACACTAAAATTAGATACTTCAGTATTTATCATCTCACTATAAGACTGCACATTCTAAGATGCATCCAACTGATCTTTAAGCTTTGAAGATAAGCCTAACGACAGGCCACTCCAATGTCATGTTACCCTGGTATTTAAGCAAAGCGCTCCAATTTTTAGCTTGTCTCTACACACAACTTGTTTGAGTTAAAATCCGCACTGAGATGCCAGCTTTAGGTCCAAGTTATAAAAGTCACTCCATCTCCCCACCCTTTTTTCCTTTAAGCACATGGTGAAAAATCCACTGCAAATTAGGTAACTTTAAACAGTGACACCAAGTCAACATGCCCTAAAGAGCTTCCAGTAGCATTCTGAAACAAAATGACCATATTCTCTTTTAAAGTTCAAAGAAAACGTGTTTTTAAAAAATAAAATCTCTTCTACTACTAAAAGCAAGCTACAGTTTGTCTAAAAATAACCACAAACCAGAAACTATAAATGCATCCAGAATTAAAGCTTGTGTAATGCCATTGTTTTGAGCTCCTGTGAGATATGAAACGCACCATTAAGTTTTAGTATATTTATGCTTTGAAGTAAAACACAATGGTCTGAATATTCTGCAGTTACTATAAACAATACAGAGCACTTCACAGCAGTTGTTGGAAACAATCTTATCCCTCAATTCATCCAAGAGATTTAAAAACAAAACAAAAAAAACCCCTACCAAATTGTAACTGCATTTAAAACAGTGAGAAATTAACACTAAGGTAAGTGATTTCATCTCTGACAGTCTGAACTCCATTCTTCACAGAGTCACCAATTACAGCCTGAAAATTCAAGTAGTTAAACTAGGTACACAAGCAGCAACTCCCCATACAGCTGCCTTGCAGTATCCTTCCTTTCTGCATCCTCACAACCACCACGATTCTTCTCTAGCACATACTAAACTGTTCCACCTGTATGTGCTGTAATATGTAAGACAGGTACTTTTCTTCTGCCATTATCTGGTCTCCATTTAAAGAGTATAGACAAGAAAGACGATTGAGACAAAAGGAAAAGTAACTATTGTTTAGGGTATGTGAAGAGCAAGGCTGTTCTGATGAATGAACAGGCTAATAAAAACTGGCAGATCAGCAGCTGCTTGTGTTTTACTTCAGGATCCAATTATGTACACGTTTTACCAAATGATATCGATTTAAATCACAGTTTAACAAGGCCTTGCATTTTAAAATGTAGAAAAATAAATTATGGGAAAAACATACTGCAAATGATAAAGAAAAACATTGCAACTAGGGATGGAGGCGGGAGGAAAAATCTAAGATGTCATCTGAATTTTGTAATGCTGCCAGAGAGAAAGTATCACTGTATTCTGTATCTGGAACTCTTACTAATTATAATCAGTCGTTAGAATTTATCACTACAAAATAAAAATAAGTATCAAAGATCAATTGATTAATTAAAAAGTCTCAGGGGGGATGGGGTAAAGAAGGAGAAAAAACAGAAAAAAAGACTTAAAATATTCCTATAATTCCTGATAAGCAACACCAATGCAAGTAAACCTGACCTGGGCAAATCTACAATGGGCATTCCCACAGTTTTTGCACTAGTTCCATTGGTTTGATTTATACTAGGATAGCATTTCAATTTTTGTTAGCATAGAAGTGGCTATGTCAGTATAATCTTATCTACAGAGTAGCATCAGCATCACAGTTCACTTAAGAATCACAGCTTCCTTATACAAGGAAGAGGCAATGGTCAGAAATATGCCAAAGCCAATGCTATTTGCACATCAGTCTCGCTCTTGAGCTCATCACTGTCAGATAATAGGTATATATAGGAAGAAAGCTGAATTTTTAAAGGTGCAACATTAGCAAAACTACCCCCCCCAAAACTAACAATTAGAAAATAAGCATCCAATTGTCTTTTCCAACACTAGGGTAGAAAAGGCCTAAATATGGTAACGTAGAAATTAAGTTTTGCAACTGCTGTCAAGATCCTTTCCAAAATGAGATATAGCAGAATTAAAACCACTGTCAACTCCATGTAAGAACCGTTTCTTCACTCAACAATATATGTATCAACCTTCTTGCTCACCTACCTTTGTCCAAAAAATGTACTGACTTAGTTACAGGCTAAGAGAACTGATGTTTTTAGCACATGTGCCTTGTGCTCAGTGAACAAGCAATGAGTATTTTCAGGCTTCAGAAGAAACATCTGACAACTGATAAGCTAACCTACAAATAGCAACTTTCTGCAAATCAGGAGATAAAGTTCTCTGAAAAAAAAAAAAATCCCCCACAAACTCTTATTAACTGTTTGGAAGAACAATAGGTTTCTTTTTTTATCCAACATGACTAATGTGACAGCTTGGCTACCTGAGCGCGGAGTTTTTCCGCAGAGAGACATGAAACCCAGAGGCATCACGCCACCTAGTGCAACGCTCGCCTCTCCTGCATTTCCAGCCACTGCTCCCTCTCCCAGCCCCTCACCTTCACTCCGGCACCTATGGTTTAATCAGTGCAATTTACATCCTACTGCCTACATCAAAGAGATCCCAGTTTTAACAGGCAAACATATTAACAGCTAAAATGTGATAGTTCAATATTTGGATAACTGTGAAAAAGGTTTCATATGTGTTTGTTGTACTTCTTTTTGGTTTAGAAAGCCCACAATGAAGCATGCCCCAAGTACCAGTGCTGAAGCATTTCATATTCCTACATTACTATTTAGGGCTGATTAATCGATAAAACTGAATGACCTCCTCTATGAAGCATCTTTCTCCTAACTGTAAAGTCTGCCTTTTATTAATTAAGTGATAATTTTCCATTACTTATCACTTGTCATTTAATCAGGTGTCTTGCTATCCCTTTCTTTCACTCAATAACTTTGCCATTCAGCAAATTCTCTTTTTAAGGCATAGGTTAGATTTCCTCATATATTAAAATCTAAAATAAAAGTTCACTAAAGAAAATCTTCATGGTTCTTTACACTACTTGGTTATTTAGGCTGAAAGCCACCATTCTTCTAACTAATGCTTTATAATACCTAAACCTACACTAAATTCTCCACATTTAAACATACAGACATTATACTTTTGGCTGTCACAATACCAGAACTGACCAAAAGTCTGATCAGCATAAAAGAACTTCTACTACTAGCACGTGCTTTTCTGTCACTTTAATACAATTTTTTAGAATTCCGCCTTTTATACATTGTACGTACTAGCACAAGTCACAGATTTTGTGTTCACAAAGAACAGAGATGCTGTTCTTTGCTGTGACTACTTAAAGGCTACCACCAAGAAACTCCTGTATGAGGTTTAAATACGAACCCGTAATAAACAGTGTTTTGAAATGGTCAGAAAAAAAATATTTTTTAAAGTTCACACTATTTTTCGGGTGCCATTCCTCCTTACCACCACTAGATGCCACTCTCTGTCCTGCCTAGAACTAAAATCCTGCTTTTTTTTCCCTAAAGGATCACCCCAGGCCAACAGCTAGTACAGTTACAAACTATGTCAAGAGTGATGAGTAACAAAGACTGTCACAACTTTTGTTGAAAATTCCTACCCACGCAGAGGTTTGTCTGTCTGGATTTTTACCAGTTTCGGTGAAACACCTGCTAGCTGGTTTGTGCACTCAAGGAAGAAGCATCTAAAAACTAGAACTGCCTTGTAACCAGGTATCACAAGGCAGACACCTAAATGTTTACTTGCCTACAGTGCTGTTTCCTGTAAGAATGTATTTCAGCTAATGGACAAAACAATGCAAGTAGAAAAGTCTTCAACCTTTTTAAGTCTTTGCTACAAAACGATTTCTCTTGTAAAGAGAAACAGTGACTGTCTTTCCAGATAAAGAAATGTTGCTTAGGGAAACCAAGCTGACAGCCACATGTCTGAGAACACTGAGTTTCAGCTGAATAAGCAATTTAGCTTGCTTAAAACATTACTTCTTCTTGAGAGCAGACCAATTTAAATCCTTTCTATGAATATTTCCCTTGCTGTTAAAAAGGGATCATCATGCTTTGGTTTTGTTGCTATGTTGCTTAATCTCTGTATGCCATGAAGAGCAGCAGATATGCTGTACGTAGCACTGTGTAAAGACAGTTTGCCAGGGTACAGTTGCCCAAGTTCTTATTTAGATGGAAACTAATTGCAGAATTCCAGCCTGTGGTATGAATGTCTCAGCACATCTTGGAGAACAGAGAAAGATCTAAGGCACAGAGAGCTAGACAATTACACAGTAAACATGAATGTCATTATAAGCCCTAACCATTTCTTATATGGTGGCAAAAGTCAACAGATAAAATTTTATCGTAACTTGCTTAAAGTTTGTCAGACTCATTGTTAGGTTCACAGAGCAGCTTCACAACTTGAGCAAATCTACACAGAAAGAGATATAGAATACATTCATATTGCCAAGTCAGCTCTGACTAAAAACACCTTCAGGTGGAAAAAATGATTAATTACACACATGTTCAAGCTACCTGGGAACTCCTGATATTTGAGCACTCAAAAGAGTTCTTAAAAAAAACACCACCAAAACACTAGATCAATCATCCAATCTCAAAAATGCACAAGGAGAATACTTAAGTCTGTAATTACAATGTTCTTTTACTTTGAAAAACAACTTGAAAACAGCATTATCAGATTTCATATTTACTCTCAGTTTACAGGTTTTAATTCCCACGCCAGCTACTACTTGGACTGGAAAAGCAAAGCCAACTTGATTTTTTTCTCCCTACTGTATAAGGGTTCTGCAAAGCCCCATCTGATTTGACATACAGAAGACAAGTGAAAATATTTTCACAATCACAGCATTCTTAAATTACCTTTTCTCTCATAAGAGAAACTCCTAACACTTACTCTCCAAATCAGATATGATGAGGTTGTCGTGAAGCTTCACAGCACGATGCTGCTCTACTTCATCCTCCAACTCGAAGATAGTTTCTTTCATGTCACTTCTCTCAGTCTCTTTTTCATCTAGTTCTGTCCGAAGCTTTTCTAGAGTCACATTGAGATCCTCAATTTGTTTCTTGGCTTCTTCTTGGAACACTCTGTATTCATCTTCAACCTGAAAAAGAACATGTCTTGTAGTAACTGAATTGGTTGCATTTTAAAACACACTTGTAGTTGCTACCATACTTAAAATATACTTTTTTGCAACCATAAAAAGGTATGGGACAAGAAGTCAAGCGTAAGCTTTAAAAAAATGTATTGTTCTAGTGCAACTATCTCCCTGAGCCAGAGTTAAACTCCTTTATTCCCAAGATGAATATATGACCATTCCCCACCTACTTTAACAGCAGTGTCTGTATTCAAGAGAAGCAACAATACCATAGTACCAAGACTGCAGTTTCATGAGCAGCTGATCCTTTTTCACAGCAGCTGCTGTGGAAAAGGGAAGGGGTGGTGGGGGAAGCTCTTTACCCTTTCTTTCTCTTGCCAAAAAAAGCCTGTTCTCTTCTGTGCATCAATTTTAGTGCTTGCTGGACCTCTGAGAGGATTCATTTCCTTAATCAAGTAGCAGGATTCACTTTTGTGTGTGAGATGTGTTAGTGAGCTGAAGTAGTTCTCAGAGGACTCATGCAAGCTACTGAACTGAAGTACAACAACAAAAAAAACCAAAGCCCTGGGAAAGGAAAAAGTAGACTTCTGGCTTTGAGGAGCAGCCAGGCTATTTTATCCTGCCTCATGAAACTGCAACAGAAGTAACAAGCTGGGATCAGAGGCACAGTAACTTTACCCCAACAACAAAAACAGGTCATCAGAAAAACAAGAGAAATTAGGTCAGGGCTTAGGGTGGGTCAGCACAGGCACCAATTTTAACAGACAAAATGCCCTGCTTTAAATCATCTGTTTCAGTATTTTTTTATTTGAATAGCACTATCCAACTGTAATTATTCAAATTACACTTTTTTTTTCTCCTCCCAAATTAAGGTTGATTCTAACTGGCTGGTGATCATGACCAACATGCTGATTTGCAACTAAAATATAGTTTAGACTACATTTGGTATAAACTGTCTCATCATAAAGATATACCTTTAAATGCATCCTGAAAGTTACTGAATATTTTTTATGATTCTTAGTTTTATAGTAAATTATCTAGTAAATATGTCTTGTAAAAGCACTTACCATAGATCAGTTATATTTGGATCAAAATAGATGTTCCAGAACTAGAAATACACGTTTCAAATCAAAACCCAGTCAACACACAAGCGGCTGCAGGATGGATCATTAGTAAAAATCCCTATGCATATTTGCCATATTTAATAATCATAGTTTAAAAGCTTATCAGAATATTTTAGTTTGTGGGTTTTGTTTGTTTTTTCATTTAAAACTAAAATATGTATTCAGTATATTAAGTTGGGTAAAATTTCTGTCTACCTCAAAATTAGTCATTCCTTAACTGGAGAAAGAAGACATTTTTCTGCTTTCTTTATCATTAGAAAATGACCAACTTGAATAGGCTGAAACTCCAAAATATTCTCTCCATACCTGTGACAGGTCCTACAAGTCATCACCAGCTGGGTGAACACTTCAAGCTTTGTCTCCCAGTACTTCCTCAGGAACACCTTGGCACTAACTCCTTGAAACTCTCGCAGAAGTCATGCAATTTAAGCCCAAAATTCATACAGTATCTTAAATGCTGCTTGAGTTTGGTGGTTGAAATAAGTTGCAGAGATAAATACCAGTATTTTTAAAAAAGCAGCATGACAGTTTCCATGTGGCTGAATGTGCCCATATGATTTTTAAAAAGGCCTCTTGACATTTTCATAACAAAGATTAAGAACCAATCCTACACTGATGCAGTCCTATTAACCTTGTAATTAATTCTTTACTTCAAAAAGAACTACAGTGACCAACAGGAAGTCATACTGTATACTGGATGTTAAAATACAACAGTGTTTTAAACACTACCTTAGCAATGGCATCCTGCAGTCGGTTGGCATCGTTGCGGGTGTGTGCCAGATCTTCTTGCAGACTACTGGCCAAGGTCTCTGCTTTTTCTTTATCCAGCCTGACACTCTCCAGCAAATCTTGTATATCTGATTTGTCTCCAGAGTTGTGTATAGAATACAACTCAGCCACTTTCTGCTTTTCATGCTCTAACTGAGCTTTCAGCCTGTTCATCTCAATCTGGTCACTGGCTACTGTGGCTTTGTACTCCTCTAAGGTAGATGCTATTGCTGTTTTGCTTTTCTGCTCTGACTCAATAATCCGTTCCATGTGGTGATTTCGTTCTTTTAATGCCCCTATCATTTCTTGAGCCTCCTTGTTGTCTTGTTCTGCCATCTTCAAAGTGTTGCTCAAGTGCTGCTGAACACCTAACAGCTGCTCTCGCTCAAACCGAGCATTCTCTGCAAGGTCCATATAACGTTGCTCTAACTCCATGTAGCGACCACTTTTCATATCTTCATCAATTACATATGAAATATGGTGTTCATCTAAAAGGGACCGAAAATACTCGATCTGGCGGCTGAAGTGTTCCAACTTGTCACTTTGCTGGCACAAGGATTCCATGAGGATTACTTTTTCCTCTCCAAGTCTTTCATTCTCACTGTTTAGCTCTTGTGTTATTTGTTGCAAATCTGCAAGTTCTTGAAGTGTGGCTTGGAGCTCTTCAGCTGTACTGTGTTGATTCTCTTCCATTTGATGTATCCGTTCTGTCAGACAAGCTACGGACACTTCACTTGCATTGCCACTACTTCCCTTCCTAGATCTTTCTATACTTGGTACACCTTCTGACTCTGAAGATGATGGAGCATCTAAGGCATCATCACTTGATGTCAGTGGCTGATAAACTTCACTGCACTCACTGTCTAAATTATCCATGGAATTACTATGTTGGTTGTCCATCAAAGTGTTTTCATCCTGACTTAACAAGTCTTCCATTGATCCAGGAGCAGAACCTTCCACTGAAGATGTCAGAGTACCACCACCATCACTGTGATTGCCAGCTATAACCTCTGGACTCAAGGACTGATAGCCAAAGAGTTTTTCAGAGTTATCCAGCCTTTGTTCCAAAGAAAAGCCTAATGCATTTAGTCTGTCTTTTAACATTCGATTCTCATTCTTCAGCTGGTTGAGCTCTTCTCGGATGGCAGTGTTTTGCTCCTGTAACTGTAGCAATGTAGACTCTACATCAGTTGGCTGATGGACAACTATGGCCTCTTTTTCCTCAGATTTTTCATCACCTTCAAGTTGATCTTCATTAAGTCCCAGTTGAGCACGCATATCCCTTAGCTCATTCCTCAGATGCAAGATTTCCACATCTTTAGTTTTTGCCAATGTCAAAAGATCATTCACCTTTGCTTCCAATGCAGCTTTGTCACTGATTTGATTGTCTGATTTGGACTTGCTCATTCGAATATCTGATTCTGGGTTGGTGCGACTGCGGAAGCGTTTTGCCAGTACCGTATCATTGGTTCCCTGGCCAGTCAAAGGCAGCTTTTTGCTCTGGCTTAAACGAGAACGGTCGCGTATCCTTTCTCTAGAAGAGCTTGACTCTTTATTTCCAGAAGAAGTGCTACGCTTAGTTGTGGAACTGGTACCTATATGTTTTTTGAAAGTTAGGAACATTAATTTAAAATACATTATCTGTAATGGAAGACTGTATATTTTGCAACAGCAATACAGCAATTGATCCTTTGAAACACACTGGTTAATACATTTCATAAAATACATTTAAACATTTCTACAACCTTAATCATGAATCAGTGTAGTTATATTTTAATTGATATACACTTCACTAATTGCTATGCTTTACCTGTATATTGGAAATGAGCAAGACCTTAAAGTTTAACATTTGCAAGTTTCTTTTTTTTCTTTTCAACAGCTTCTGATAAATTGTGCACAAACTGCAGCAGTGCTATTTCTACAAGTTCACATGTCTCTCTTTTGAGTAGATTTGAATGCAAGTTCTTAAGTGATAGTTTACATATTATGATTCCCCAAAATGAAAGTTAAGGGGTTTTGTATTTTCATCTCATTTCATAAAGACAAGGATAGATTATTACTACTTTATTTCCAGATGCTTCACAGCTTTGCAAGCATTATTGCATCAAGAACACCAACAGAAGGCAAGACATACTTCCAACCACATTGATAATACAGAAAATTTTCACTTTTCCAAACAGTTTCTGAAAGTTCTCTTACTTTATAAAACAATATAGGATGTCCAAAATGTTGACAACAAGTGATCTCATCTTAAAGATTTAGTGCTTGAGGCATGGATTGTTTTAGACAAATTATATTAGGCAAATTTACGATTCTATACATTAATTGCAATATCTAGTTTTATATAGTAGTTGCATAATCAGTATTGAAAAAAATAAAAGCAACACCCTCCAAAAAGGCAATTATATTATTAAAAAACAGAAAAAGAGAACAGAAGGCATTTGATTTGAGCGTGGCCTTACTGACATTTCATTAGGCAGCCTGGATCCTCAATACATAATAGGAAAACAAAAAGCCACTCAACCATCATCTCTAAGGATCAATATATCCATTTACCTGCAATAGTTTTGGGTTTATTTTCCAGACTGTTCATGGTTGTCCCTGAAGCTGAAGATGCTGTTGATACACAAGTGCTCTTCTTTGCCTTGACACCGTTGGTCATTGTCACTCCACCACCACCTGCCATCCCCGCTAAGAGGTCATCATTGCTCTTAGTCTGAAAGAAAGGGAAGAAGCAGCAGCTTTAAGACAGCTGGCTGAGATGTCTGCATAGCCAACATTTCTTCTGTTAAAGATTTCATCAGTTTAAAAAGTACATTTTGACTAGCCATGTGTCTATGCAAGAATGTTGAAAAGTATAAATGCACTGCACTGTGCAGGGTTATTAAGTCGGAAGTTGAACTTCAACTCCTTACATATGATTGACCATAGAAACTGAGTCTTCTCTCTCCCAGACAAAATGGTTAATGCTTCAATACCAAAGAGAAAAAAAGAAAAACATAGTAAGAATGAAGGTATGTTTGCTTAATTGAAAAAAGAAACAGTTGCATCTCCATTCTATATACTGCCTTTTTTCAAGTGAGAATTTCAGAGCAGTTAGGAAAACTGATCACGATACTGTGGAAAGGATCTGCTGGGATTTATGCCATTTACAAAGAGCAGCTGCAAAACAAAAGGAGTCTGGGAAAAGAACATATTTGTTCTGCGAGCAGTTCTTAGAAACACAGATAATTTGCAGATAGGAACACGTACTTGTGAGGGTAAAATCCTCCAGGACAAGAATGTTTTTATTGAATCATGGAGGAAGTGGTATAGCCTTCTAAAAAGGTTTATAGAAGGCTGCAAGAAAACATTACTCCAAGGCTCTAGTCTGATGTGCAACTAAGCTGGCTTTTCTGCTATGAAAAAGTCACTGTTGTTTCATCCCGCTCTTCTCCACATGCTTACACTCTGAGCTGTGTAAACTGAAGCCTTTTCAAAGGGCTCCTTCCTCCCAGGAGCCAGATCAGTTCCTTGATCTGCTGTGTCACACACCTATGCAAACCAGCAGATGCAATCTTAGTACCAATGGGACAATAAAAATGTTGGAGGACTACAAAATCAAGAAAGCTCACACTACTTGTGTGGGAAGAGCTGAGCACAAACTACTACTGTATCACAATCCTCCACTACTTGGTGGTGGGAGGAACAACCTTGTGATGCAACTGTCACCTGAACCAAGGTATTATAAAATGGCATAGAAAGCAATTTTTTATTTTGCTACTGAATCTACCAATCAGTCAGCAAACATGAGAGTTCAAATGGACTATTAGCTGTCAGCATTTTTACCCTGTTGAAAGAGTGAGGAAATTAGATTAAGTTTTTAGACACGTATAGTACATGTTATCAAGCCAAATAGGTCAAGAGCTGACTCAGCCTAAAGGAAAAAAAAAAAAAAAGCCAAGTAAAATACACACTTTCTGACATTAGTCATCTCCAGTCCTTGCTGAACAAAGGAATTTAAGACAGCAATTCTTCTTCTGATTTACCCATAATCTATTTCTAGTCTAGGTTGGAAGGCATTGCCTCCTCTGCAGCCAATTATTAAACAGTTTCTCCAAACTGTAACACTACACTCTTGGCAGAGAAAACTATTTAGCAAAGCTTTGGAAAAATTACAAACCAGCAGCTCTCTTTTCTTAATGCTCCACAATGGCAATCATTCTTAGCTGTAAAAAAATCAAAATATTTTTGTAGTGTACATTTTTAATGGAAGCAAAATCAATATTATATGTTTATTAAACAGCTTTTTTCCTCGTTCACTGAGGACAGTGCAATCTTGCTTAGCATTAAAACCCCTACATTAAAACATGAAACATTAGAAATTACTAATTAGAAATGCTCATCCAGACCTATGCTGATTTTCTGTATTAAAAAATCACTTTATAATTATACAAGTCATAGTCTGTTTTCCCTCACATCTTTCTTTCAGTGCAATGTAACTTGAATGACCTCTACAGTTCATTTCATCTTAGTTTCTCAACATGTATATCCTATATACTGCACCTTACTCAAATCCCTTTT